GACTTTTGGTGACCAAATTGCTGCTATTTAAATCTCAAAAATTTAAATTCTCCCCTCATTTTAAAAATGCAATTTCATGAGCTATAGAGCTTATATTGAGCTGATTTTAGTTGTGCTAGTTCGGAATTTTACGTGCCTACATGATTGAGAAATTGTGGAATCTTGGAATTCATCATTCTGAGAAAACTTCTACCCGAAGGGGCTGCTAAGCATGATCCTTGAGGTTTTATGGTAGTTTTATTGCATGTGTAGCTCCCACATTCCCATTTCGCTCAAGTTTGGTTCCATTTCCATTTACAGAGAATCTTGGGTCTAAACATATGCAATGGATGTTTTGGTCAATAAATTGATAGTGTGACTATATTTAGAGGCATTTCAGAAATGGATTAGTGGTTTGTAATGGATTTCAAGCGCGCATGATAGCCTTTGATGTAGCCTTCAATTTATTTTCTTGATTCGGCTTTTTAGATAATGTATAATATAGATTGCATGTGATTTAGGATTCTATTTGCCAGTTATTACTTATCGTGCTTCTCATTTCATTCCGGATCTTTTGTCCTTTATGCATACTAGGGTTTTGGACTTATGAGTGATTAACAACGTATAAATAGTAATTAAGCAATCTTCGAATAGTGTTTTGCATGCATTGATAATTTTTTCGTTTAGAAGTCTATGTAGCGATTGTAAATGTTAAAAATTGCCTTGTTGCTACTTGCCGGAACTAGGATGTAGTTAATAAGAAAAAAAATTAAACATAGACTTAATGTGATACTATCAAATAGTCTAGTGTAGATTGGTGCGAGGGTGAAAACTAAGTCATACATCAATGTGATGCCTAATATGACGTAAAGGAAAGGGTTAGTAAATTATACACACATAATCGGAACAAGGTGCGGGATGAAACTCTCTAGATATTGGACCAAGGATGTAAAGATACATAACTTATCACTTTGCATGAAATACACTAGGAAAGGATTTCTATTACTAGTATTACCGCGTTATGAACTTGTGGGGAACACGTACACCCTAGTTACTTTCTCATCTTGAAAATAACCGAGGTAAACTCTTGCTTACTTGATAATTACATAATCTTAGGAATTTGTTTCACAAATCTCCCCTTTAAACTTACTTGTTTCGGAAATACTTTGACTAAGAGAATATAGTTCTGGGTTAAAGTTAAGTCTAAACCATATTCCTCGGGGGATCGACCCCGACCTACTAGTTGGGTTCTCTAATTGATAACGATTGTTCATGCTTATTTAAGGAGGCGTAATTTGAGCATATCAGTAATTATACATGAAAGGTAACTTTTCAAATTACTTATTCATTTTTTTCAAATTAATTAAGAGAATCGATGCATTGATTTGGAAAGAATACATTACACCTGCTTTTGAATCTAATTCATATAATTGAACCATATAAAGTAACCCTTAATACTCTAAAACTTTTGAGAGTAACTAAGAAAATTAATGCATTGTTTTTTAAAGAACGAATTATGGTAATTTAATTAAATACCTTCTCTGTTTTAGGATTTAGTATAATACAATATGATTATCTATTTAATAGTTAATTAATTAAATATTTATAATATTATGATTGAATGTAGGGGTAAAATAGTAATCTAAATTTTAACTTTGTACTTTTCCACTTTTAATAATAATATATGAATGATATTATATTATATGATATGATATGATGATGACGATATATACATTGTTTTATCTATCACAACTTTTCAAATTCTTCCATTATGAGAATTATGAGCATAACTAAAATCAATATCAAGGTACTCATATATCAAGAACATAATAAATTAATTACTTAAGGACTTAAAGACTTAAATTCTACCATTATGTAATTAAAATATTTATATTTAATTAAATAATTAATCAAATTAGTAAAAGAACAATATGGAAACTTTTCACTTTGAAGCTTCCCACTTATCCTTTGTTTAATCTTTCATCCTCATTTATGGTGTATATTTGAATATGTATACTTGTTAGGTTTGATTCTTATGGGCTTAGGCTATGTTGGAGAATTTGATGCCCTGGAGAGTATTTTATTGCCCTTGTAGTTGTGATATGCTCCCTGTAGGGCTTCTATTGGGTTGTTCATCTTGTATTGGTGCTTAAGACCTTGGTGGCTCATTGTAGCCAAACTTTAGCACTAGATGTGCTTTGTAATTGATAGGAGAAGTATGATTGGGGTAGGACGTCATTCGTTAAGTTTTTCTCCCCATTTTATTTATTCAGTATCTTTTCTGGTCACTTTGCTTGTTTTTAGTTGTAGGCTAGTTATGATCTTTTTATATTTGACTATATTGTTGGCTCGGGGCCATGTTGAGGACTATTTAGATGACAAGTAAGTACTTTCTTCTTGAGACACTACACACATCTGGGATATGCTTAGTTCTAAACTGACTAGCTGACACGTTGATGTTCTTTAATTCGTGATTTTTGCTACTCTTGATTCTCTATAGAGTTGATCCCTACTATTTGCATATTAAAGTTCCGGTCTTCTCATCTATGTAGTCGATTAAATGCCCAACCTGGATTCAGGCCCAAGCAATGTACACAAACTTCCCATTTCCACCTTGAGCCCATCTAGCCGTGAGTCTCACAAGATGGAGGTAGGTGTTTACACTTGGTTACTAATGGTCCTACTGCATACTCTGCATTCATATACATTGCTTAACACCAATATACTTGTTTTTTATTGCACCCTTAAGTATACGGGGGAAGTTATGCCTATTGTTTTTAGCTTCAGGCTTATGGGGGTCTGACTAGGTTATGATTTGGTTATATTATGTTCTCTGTTGTTATTGATCGGTTTGTTGATAGGATTTTTTTTTAGAATTTTGGCTGTTAATCCTCTTGAATAGGGGTAGTTGACTTTGTATCTTAGTTTGATTGTGATTAGGTTGTCGTCTTGAATTCCGGGTATGTTCTTGACTCGGTTCCTTATTTTTTTGTGTCCTATTTATGCTCCTTATTGCTTGTCTGTTATGTAATCTCATCTTTAGTATATGTGCTACACTTTCCTTATTACTTGTTGCTTACACTTGTCTTATCTTTGATCTTATTCGACCATGAGTACCATTTTTGGCACTCATACTAACTTCTACTCCATGTCGATCATAGTTTGGGTTCTCACTTTTAATTTGGAGTCTTACGGAGCATATTAGAGTTCTAAAACTAGGATGAGATCCTGGCATTCAGTAGAGTCACTTGTTTATGTCTGCTTTGGCTAGACTTAGAGTTGACACCTATTTTGACAGAGTTATAACCCATCTCTATATGTATATTCGATTAATATATTTTAAAACTTATCTTTTAAGTTATATTCTCACAATTATGCATAAATTTTATATATACTTTATTAATTCATAATTTATAAAATTATTATTATTAAATTTATCGATTGCTAAATTTAAAATAATTATTTTATTTTTCAAAGTGTAGGTGTCTTTTCAGGTGGAAAATGTATTTATTTATGTCAAAATTTATATTGTTTTATTTAAATATGTGTATCATATCTTATTAATTAAATAGCAATCTTTTTAATCTTCCTCCAAATTATTTAAATTATAACCTATTCTTTCAAATTTATTTCAATTCTAGAATTCTTTATTTAATTTGAAGTCAAATCCTACACAAGAACTTGTCAATTTTGATCTATTTTGATCCAAATTAAGTTGAGCCTTCTCAATCCTACGATGATAAAATCCCAATCTTTTTCCATTTTTATAACCCTAACAACAAGTCCTCAAATCAATACACGCTTCTTCTTCCCAAAAGAAAAGCACCGCCCGCTTCTCCTTGTCTCTTTCTCTCTTACGCCGCCGCTCCACTTTCACTTTGATGAAGCTCCACACTGTAACAACCTACTAATCCCCATCTAAGGTGATAAACAATTGCCACTTCACCCTCTCTGTCCTCGTTCCCTTTTGGTGTGTCTCTTGTTTCTACCGATGCTCCACCCCATCTCCGGCAAAGACCACTAGCAAACTCTTTCTCTTCCTTTTCCTTTTCGCTCCTCTGCCTCCCTCTCCTTGATCTTTGACCATCTTCATCGGCAAAAGAAACAAACCATAGATCTCTTTTCTGCTAGTAACTATGACACCAAAAAGTTGTAGTCGGATCAATCGAAGCTTCAAGATATTATTGTGTTTAAGACAGATCCACATAAGGTATGTCCCTCTAACCTAAGTGCCACCTCTTCCCTACAATATTCTATTTTTTTTAGCATAAAATTTGTTGATTCAGTTCTTTCATTACCATTTATGTTTTTAGGCTTAGTGTGCTGAAATTTAAACTTTTCAGAATTTGTATAATCGATATTCATCTATGAGCAATTTGGTATTTCCTAATTTTGACTCTATTTTAATTATGTTCCAATAATTGTTAAATGTGTCGTTATTGACTGATTCTCTTTGAAATTTGACTTGATACAATTTTAGATGTTTTGCTTTGTTGATTCTCATAATGCTTAAACATACGATTAGTATTTGGTTATTTTTGGTACCTATATATGTAATTGATTCTATCTTTCTCCACACTTCCATTTAACTTCGTGGAATTGTTTGATTTAGAATAGTTCTTGAATTTAACTTAAACATGGTAAGGTTGTCACTTATAAAAAAAATAATTATGTGAAGATCTTGATATTTGAGTACCCTTTGGTCAATTTAATTAGCTTAATTCTTTTCTTTTTACTTTAACAACCTATTTGGAAGACTAATAATGTTATTTCTTTGTTATTAATTTAGAGTTTCAAATGTATATGATTTTGGTAAATTTCAATATGCTTTCGATTCCTTAATTATGCTTTACTGGTTTATATTCATAAGAATGGGATTTACTTGTGCTATCGATTGTAAAAAAATATAACATGCGTAATTGATTTATTATGGTCATACTTCTTAATATATCTATAGTAACACTAATCTAATTTTTGTCTTGGACTGATTTGTTCATCTTAATAACGATAAGCTTGTTTATTGATAGATTTTCTCCGGATTCCTCTCATTAAGTCTACGATTGACTATACTATTTTCTATATCATCATGCTCTATAACTCTTCCTTTGGAAACTTTTTAACACTCTTGACTTAAAATGCAGCTTGGTCATGGGACCCAGTTTTCAATGAGCCAACCTCATATGGTTGTTTTGATGGTTCCGTTGAACCTGGATCGCCAGATTTAGTGGGGTAAAATATCTGGTTTATTTTCAATCGGTCTAGCAATAATCTTGATGGTCCATTAAAAGATTTTGGAAAATGACAAAATCTTGTATTGCTAATACAGACTTTTAGCGGTTGTGTTTAACTTATAAAGACTAGATTGCTTCTATTTAAATCCCAATTTTGCATCTTCAACCCTCATTTTCAATTCATGATTTCTTGAGTTATAGTATTTTGATTGGGATGATTATAGTTGTGTAGGTTCAAGGTTTTTCATGTCTACGTGTTGGAGTGATCACGGAAGTTTTGAAGTTATTATTTTGAGGTAATTTCTGCCCTAAAGGGGATGCCTATTTTTATTTTAAGCTTTAATGCTGAATTTATTGCATGTTCAATTTTATCACATTTTAGAGCTTGGATTAATACCATTTAGGGGGCACAAGTTTCTAGAGTTGTTTTAGACCTTTTTACAGATCTATTTTGGGTCTATTTCCAACTATTGCAAATTTAGTGTCTATATTTGTAATGACGTTGTAATCAATAATTTAACAGCATCGCGGTGTTTAAAGACATTTCATAAGTGCATAACCATGGACAATGGATTTAGAGCATGTGTGATTGACTTTGAGGTAGGCTTCGGTCTATTTGTTTTATTAGAATTTTTAGATAATGTATAGTATATGCTTAATGTGAATTAGAATTGTATATACTTGTTGAGTATTAATACCATGTTATTCATTCTATCTTTTCATTATTTCGTTGGAGCTTTGGGCCTTTTGTGGGTGTTGACTCTTTAGTGTAGGCTTTTAGCCTCTTTTGTGGTATAGATTAGCATGTTTATTCTTCTTATGTTTGACACTTATTGCCTTGGGCTAGGTTTTAGAATTACATGCCTTAGACCGTGTTATATCGCCTGTGTAGTTGTGAATGGAACTCGCTAGGCCTTAAGAACAAAGGAGATTATGTTCATGCTTCAGATGATCTGGCTAATTCTATATACAAATATCTAATTTTCTTCTATTATATGTAAAGGCTTAAGGTTGAAGGCCCATTTAGCGCCTTTCAAAAGTTAAGAGGTTATGTTGACTTTATAAAGGCTACTAAGGACGGGATGAAGAATAAAAAATGTCCACTGAAGCCTAGGGATAATCGGAACGTCATCTGCCAGGGTTAAGGTATTTCTTAATTATGAGCCTACTCAAATAAGACCTACACAAGTTTATTCTCTTTGGCCGGCCAGCTTGTTGCAACCTTCGAATTTCCTGCTGACATTCCAAGTCTCCAAGTGGGCCCTCTTTGAAACCCCCAACCTTGGCTTTTTAGAGAATCTCACTCCTGTGTCGTAGGACTTGTAGCTCGGCATCCCACCGGGTGGGTTTATTTATCCTTCTAGTTCTGAGTGTTTTCTTCGATAGTAATAGCGTCCCATAGGTGTGAGATGTACCTTGAGGGGGGAGGAGGGCACTTGGAAATCAGTTTCCATTTATTCTATGGTCAATTCCTCGGTCGGTGCAAGGCCAGAAATCGGAACACATTGATTTTGCTCGTTCCCATTCTTTGCTTCAGGGCCTGTCTCTCATTGTGGCCAGTACTCCATACTGTCGGAAAGTGAAGCTTACACTTCTTCACTAATTATGACGGTTCACCAGGGCCCCTTTCCTCCTCCCTTTTCTACTTACTCGTAGGGTTTCGGGACCCCCAAAAAGGGGGATGGAGTCGACTGAACATCTCAGCCTTTGGCAGGAACTTCTCCAGTAATTTCCCTACAGTTTACTAACTCATTCTTAGACTAAGACTACGACATTGAAGAATCACCCTCTCACTCTTATTCCAGGAATTACAGGTTGACATTTTGTCCATTAATGAAGTTCAAACTTCTCGACTCGCTTTCTCTCTTATCTTGCAGTTGCCAGTCATTCTTCGCTTCGTTCGAGAATCAACTGCACATGAATAGGCTCTTACTTAGGACTTCAAGGATGGAGATGAATTGGTGAAGGGAATCTATGAGATATAGGAACCACGTTACGACCAACACGGAACCAACTTGTTGGGACTCTTTTCTACCTGACTAATTATCGCCAAGACATTGCTTACACTTAAAATATTGGAGAAAGTGATCACCTGATTTTCATAAGGACAAGCAGAGACCACCTCACTTTAAAACTACTTTTTAGATTTTGTGGTGGATCAAAACCCCATAGAGAAGAGGTTTATTCTTGTCCACGTCATCCTCTCTTCAGCTTTCTTGTTACTATTATATTGATTTCAGGTAGTACATTATACTTATTGGATTTTGAACATCGTCCCCATGCCCAAGACGGACGAACGTGACCTCCAAAAAGTGAGAAATCTCTTACTTTTTCTACCTAGGGGGATCACTTATCCCCATTAAGTACCTAGTCTTCCCCCCCCCCCTCCTTCTTGATTGGAAAGATTGTCTACTCTTTATGTCATTCCTTGGACGGTAAATATGAGAGAGGTTGTAAGTGCATTCTCTCGTTCTCCATCTGATTTCTCTATAGTTTACTAGGGCATTTCTAGACTAAGACTACGACATTGAAGGTCACCTTACACTTTAGGTATCTACTCGCGGATGACATAACTCGTGATGTGAATTAGTTTTACTCTCATCTATCGGGTGAAGGGTGGTTCATTCAAGCGCCAACCCTGACTCCTCCACCAGATAATTCCAGTATGGAGCACACTCCTGATGTTTGAATTGAAGGGGGTGACCTATCCCCGGGTTTGGAAGGAGAGAAACTATAAAATCTGTATCTCGTAGTTGAAGGGCATCTTCGTAGATATTGCGGTTCTGAGGATGGATTGAAAAGAGCTTTTAAGGACTGGGGAAGACAGGTGGATTAGAGAGCTAGGATAGGGGAAAATCAAAGGCCCATCGGGATTGGGCGTAGATGAGCCTTGACTAGGTCAACATTGAATAAAAAAGAAAAACTTCCCTCATCAAATCATTAACTGGTGTAGAATTCAAGATCAGTTCCAGAATTTGAGTCAAATAGACCTTCCCTCTCATCTAAGGGTGAGGCAGAAATTTTTTCAAATGTTCATTGTTCAATATCTCGGCTGCTCAAGAATTTTGACTAGTTGTTCCTCCTACCCGAAGTGGATACTAGGGGAAGAGTAGAGCCTCACCTTGCAATATAAAGGTGTTCGTTATTGGGATGGGTTCAAATTGGACCATAGGGGAAGAGTAGAGCCTCACCGGATAATTTTACATTTCAATTTGAACTAAGCATTCTATGTCCAATTCTATGTAGTCCTTACCAACATATGCATATTATCATATATGTATATTATCTATTCCAACAAACAAATAATACAAAAGAACGAGGTTTGAGTGCGTTTCTATCCTTAAAGGGATTTTGCCGACTTTTATCAAGTTCGGGCTTACGAGATTGAATCGTAGCCAAAGTCTTTTCCACATGTATAAAGACTGGTTTGAAAGGACTAGGAAAGATCAATTGTTCGCTCTTCTTCAAGGATTCAGGGAGAAAAAGAGAGTGATGGCATCGTATGGTGATGCTACCATAGAAAGGGTTATGTGATTATCTTACTTGAATGAATCCTCTCTCTTTGTTGTGAACAAGAGAAAGCTTTATAGATGAAGAAGGCGATGGATAAATATTTTTTTAGTTCATACCATGATCCAGAGAAAGGCTTTTTTCTCTTCCTGCGAAAGGCGCATGGGTTGACTCTATTTCTTTTTCAAAGTTAGCCAGTGAGAAGGAAATACTAGTGCTTAGAAATTCTGCTGACATTGAGTTTAAACTAGTTGCTACCATTATAAGAGAAGAGAGCTTCGTGACTTCCGGGCTTAGCTCTTTGCAAGTGTAGATGAATAAATGGGTATTTTCTCTTTCAGTTGGTTCTCTAGGGAAAGAAGTTTCATTTACTTTTGTACCTCATATGTATTTAAATTAAATGTTTCCCGTGAGAGGTCTGAAAAGGAAGCTTTAACGAAGTGAGAGGGTGGATGTAATTCAGTTGGTCACCTACAGGGAGAGAGAATTTCTTTTTATTGGCTTTTTGGGTCTCGGATCTCTTTTTCCCTTATCCCTTGCATGGGGAAAAAGTCATTGCCAACTCTTTGAACAAATACTCTCTTGGGCCGCAGGAAGAGCATCACTTTGTGTCTATTCAAAGATCCGAGACTTCAAGTGTTGTTGGTGACATTTGTTCCCCGTCCCTACTGCTATCCCTCTTACCATTGTTAGGATCTGAATTAGTATGATTAAACTGTGAATCAAGTCGGGAAAAAGAAGTCCAGCTCCAGGCTTTAAAGAAGAGAAGAAAGAATTTACTTATAGGGAAATGCTTTAGGAAAGAAAGATCCCAAGTTCTGTAAACACGTGCCTACTGATGGAAGCTTTTCTCCATAAAGTGCGCTACTGGAGGGGTCCTTCCTTGCGATGTATGTTGGAGGGTCAGATTCTACTTACTTACTTCTAGAATTGAAGGTTGGCAAGGAAGACCCACTCATGTTCTATTCTAAGCCATGCCACAAATACATTATACCAATGTTAGAAAATAAGATTCTTCAAAAGAAGAGTCTGTAGGGGTAGCAAATATATATTTCCAAATAAGTCAGTATCTTAGCGTAAGCTCTTCCTTTGCTAGCTATTCCTATGTCAAAGGAAGAGCTTCCACTAAGATTCTGACTTATTTGGAAACTAGATTTGCTACCCCGGCAGACACTTCTTTTGAAGAATCTGATTCGCTAACATTGGTATAATGAATTTGCCGCATGAGAAAGGGCTCAGAAGACCCAAGAATCCCATGAAAAATAAATAAGATGAACAATTAATGATAGACGGTCATCATAAAGTTTACAAGTTATTTTATGATGCAATTGAAGGCAAAGTGGGAAGATTTCATGAGAATTGATTCCCCTAGGGCTTGTATTGGGTTGTTTATCTTGTGTTGGTTCTTTATATTTTAGTGGCTCATCGTAGACATAGGTTGGAACTTGTTGTGCTTAGTCATATACTAGAGTAGTACGAGTGTGGTAAGACGTCATCCCTTGAGTCTCCCCCCCCCCCTCTTTGATTAACTCAGTAGCTTTGCTTGGTACCTTCGCAGGCTTGCTATGGTTCTTTGATGTTTCATTTTTTTGTTGGGCCCGAGGTTGTGTTTGGAGATAACTTGGTCTCAGGTTAGTACTTCTCTCTTTTGTATCGTGATTTGATTGGACTTACATTTATTTTATTTCTAGTGCCTAATTTTTTCATTATCACGTGTTTTTTGGTACGATCCTAGCTCATGCATTGTCTCATCATTGACATTGAGAAATAGTGTTTTTACTCTACTTTATTCTACATTGGATTTAACAAGAGATGTACCACATGGATCACTACATTTATTAATTTTAATAATTAAGAAATGTCATTGACGTGCTCCTTTTCTACTTGGGACGTTAGAGGCTTGTGGTATGTGCTCAGATTTTATGAGTAGCCACTGCTTTGATTTCTTTCTGGTATAATTTTGGCTACTCGTGGTCCTTTATGGAGTTAATTCCTACTATCCGTAGAGCAAGGGTCTGTTCTTATCCTTTATGGAGTCGATATGTTGTAAGACTTCGATTCTCTCTCATCTATGTAAAACCAAATCAACCTAACACCTTACAAAAATCTCTCTTTCAAGAAGATATGACAATTAGATTTGACCCAAAATTACTTGATCGGGTAAACTACAACAATCAAAAGTAAATTCCATGCATCAAACTATGTACCCGTTTCAGTTGATCTCTTCAATCATCAATCAAAGATCTAAACTAGGATTAAGTTTTCAAAATTAAGCCATGAATTAATCTCATGCTAAAGAACTCAAATCCATAAGTGTTCAATAGTAAAATAGAGCAAGATACATGACCTACAAAATTAAATAGACACCCAACCCCATAATTAGACCCTTAGATTTGGGGTTTTAGCACAACATCATAATAAGAAAAAAAATTATACCAACGAAGTTGTAGAAATTAATGTGTTGATGATAAACAAATAATTTTCAACACTCACTTCAATTTCAACAATCAATTATCAATTAGAAAAGTTTTTCAAAAACCCTTAAACTAAGAGAAAGGGCAAAAAGATCAAATACTCAATAAAAATCTGATAGATGAATTCTTCAAAAGATAAAATTCAAGATCCATTTTCTTTATCCTTTTAGCTATTTATAGTTTCCCAAAAGATGAGTGAGAAATTCCATACGCGACCTGATCGGCAACGTTTATGAATCTCACTTTTCCGTTCAGTGGATCACCATTTTCTCAGGAGATCGCCCTTCATTTGTTTTAAGCTTTAGGCTATTTGAACCTCAGTTGGTAATCTCAATCGATTTTGCCTTTCACATTGGACGACTGAGCGATTCAAATCTTGTTCACCCATTGAGCCTTCAATTTAACTAAAAATTCTATCGTCTTCAGCAATGGAACATCAAACTCGCCCAATAAGTTCAGTAAATTAACGTTTCCACTTTAGTTTGCCAACCTTCCTTAAATATGATCAAACATACATAATCACTTTGGGTGAGGTATGAATTTTTAGGCAATCCACCCTTTTAGGCGATAACAAGCTTAGAGTTTACACTATTTTCAATGTTTGTCCTTTTTTTGTTTAGATTCATCCTTGCCTTATCCTTTAGATTTTATACCTACAAAACACCAACATATCATCAAAATAGGACATAAATAGGAATTTAGGACATTAATTGTTGAACGAAAAGCCTAAAAATTAGTGAAAATAACACTCATCAAGGTGACTGTTGACGCTTGTATTGAACTCTATTAAAATAAATAAAGGGAATACTACTTTTTTGTAAAAATCACAAAGAAAGAATTAATGATCTAGATTGCCTAACTTACTCTTTTGGCCTTTTCTGAGGCATTTAAATATTTTTTCTCCTTTGGTTATAAGACTTGCATCTCAGATATCATCTGCATTCATAATTCTCACAAGCTCCTTTTGTAGAATTTCAATAATATAGTAGAATATATTTGTTCTTCTTAGTTCATTCTGAAAGCATTTCCTTTAATTTTTTAAATCCTTCTGTGAGGAAAAGCAAATTGTTAAGAATTTACATTAGAGAAAGGCCACATGGTATATCTTTTAGGATTGAATCAAAATGACATGTTAGAATGCAAATCTTATTTGGTAACATGGGATCATTAGAGTTAGAGTTGTAAATATGGGATAGGCTTGTTGGGATGGACTAGCCTAACTCATAATTTGATAGGGTTAGGCTACAATTTTTGGAACCCATTTGAGAAAAGGGATTTTTTAGCCCGGCCTCAATAAGTGTGCCAACTTTTTGGTCTTGAGAAATATGGATAGGGCCAGTCGGTGGGCCAAATAAAATTAATTAAAAATAAAAATAAAAAAAGGTATTAAAATTAGCAAGAGTATAAACTCAAAATCTTGTTAAGTTTGGGATATTATAATTTAAATACAAATTGTTTTAATAAAAGATCTACTACGTAAAATAAAAATTCCCAATATATTTCTAACGAATCACTTCATAGGCCATACCCTATGGAATATTATCATATATTTTGTGTTTTATTATGATCATTAGAAAATAAATTAGATTAATATTTATATTTAGCTATTTATGCTTTTACTTGAAATCAAACTTAATAAGTATTATAAAGATAATTTCATGCGTCATGCTGGGGATAATTCTTATTCACGCGGTCTTATTCATGCCCTTAGGTGTGACATTTATCTATTCTATCTCAATCTTTGTTGTGGATAAGATTTTATTGACATGGCATCTTGAATCATAGCTTCGCTCATTAATTAGGAGCGGGAAGCTTTACGAATTGCACCGACAAAATAGTTTAATTGAGCATTAGGTTCATTTATCCTTCCAGGTTCTTAAATGGGTTCTTTTCGTTCCATCGTTGTTGTTGGATGCATCTGGCAACTATGAATCCCCATGAATGATTTATTTTGTCTTGCAAGGAGTTTTTTGGAAACTAGCATAGAATTGATTGTGTTTGGAAAAAAGATCATGTTATATGTCATTCACCGTTACAGTTTATTGACAAATATGTTGTCATATGGAATGCGGATAAAGGCACAAAGATGTTTGTTTGGTTTTGCCAGCCTTAGGGAGATTGTTATTTTAGTTGTTAGTTATGACGTTCAAGGTAATATCCTCAGCTCAGCTAAATTTTATAAACTAGAGGAAGAAAAATATATAAGATTATAGAGCATGAACATTCCAGTAAGAAGTGTTTTGAGTATTCCTGGATGGAAATTTTATGTGATTAGAGGCGTTAGAGGACCTTAATCAAAGTAGTTTACTAGTTTCCGGATCATACTTCTCCACACAATTCAATAACCTTGATTTAGCTCCTCCAATGCCTCTTATCATATAAAACATTTCATCTAGTTTGCAAGAGAAAATAAATCATTCACATGGATTTATAGTTGGCAAATGCATCCAACAATAGTGATGGGGTTGAAAACACCCATTCAAGAACCAGGTAGGTGAAATAGACTTAATGCTCAATCACAACCTTTTGCAGCCGCAATTTTTAAAGTTATCTGCTCTTAATAAATGAGCGGAATATATGGTTCAAGATTTCATGGCACTATAAGCTTACATAGATAAAAGAATGACACAACATATAGACATATCACGCTTAATGGCATGAATAAGAGAGTGTGAATCAGAATTCTCCCCAGCATGACGTTGATGGCCAGCTTCCTGATCAGGGGATGATGAAGAGTTATTCAATGATAGAGACACTTCACCTCTATTGAAATAATTGTATTGATATGATATACATTGCAATTTTTCATTCTTATGTCATTAGCCAATGATAATTTGCCTCATTCAATTTCTATCCTATCAAAATTATAATTCACCCAAATTCCTCAATATATTAATAAGTATATCGGAATGTGATTAAAAATATAGAATCGTAATAACAATAATCAAACAAATTATTTACAATGGAAATATTGAAATAATAAGTAACTAAGATAGAAATAAGAATTGGAATGAAAAGCTTTTAGACACTAGAAGAAGAAGAGAGGAACAAACATATTTCTCCAATGTGTAACTCTTTAGTGTTAACTCCGAGACTTATTTTACTAATTTATAATTGGAACTGGGTCCCAAAAAGAACTTCTCAACATTTCAATCTACTCAATAATCATAAATGGATGAGTAGATTCTCATGTTGCAAATTTGGTTCACAACATAATTCATGTTTCTTTCTCTCTTATAATCCAAAACAAGACTAGTATTCTAACATATCGTTTGGATTTAATCCTAAAAGAAACACTATTTTCACGACCTTTATCTAATCTTGATTCTCATTCATGTGCTTTCCTGACAAGTGGATTTGAAAAAGAAGGGAAAAACTGGTCAAAATGAACTAAAAAAAATTTCTATTGTGTTTTTTGAAATTCTACCGAAGTGTCTGATAGAAATTATGAAAGCATTTGATCAGCAAGATGTATGTTTTATAACCAAGGAGGAAGATATTATTAAATGTCTTAGAAAAAAGTGCCAAAAGAATAAGTAACGAAGTTTAGATCGTTTATTCAATTTTTACAAACAAGTAGTCTTTCCTTTATTGCTCTTAATGGCGTTCAACACAAGCATAAGAATTCAAAACATAGGTTATTAGCATATATCCATCCTTGCTTTCACGACCCTATTTATTAGGTCATGATGAAACCTAAAACACCAACCAGTAGGTAAGCCTAACCCTTAACTTGGAGTCATAGGCAATGGTCTACCAATACAAAGTCAACAAAAAGAAGCATAAAACTTGTAACCAAGCTAAGAAAGAGTAATCAACATAAATGTAATACAAGGAACCATCCCAAAACTTGGAATCAATTAGCAATCAGGGATATAATTAAAATAAGAGTACAAAGCTATTACAAATACAAAACGAGAACAATATGTCACTAATATGTAAAATTCCAGAAAATGTACTCGTCTAGTGAAGAGTCTATTTATTTTTAAGAATGGGTATTGGGGTACATAGGAATCCCAATGCCCAATATTGCGGAATATTGGGCATATTAGAGAATATTGGCTTAAGGGTGTTAGCCAATTTCTATGTATTAAGATATACTTTGCTGTCCAAATTCCCCAATTTCAAGCGTGTTTAGGAATTGTACCTGCAATGAA